TCTTCGATCTTTGGACAGCGGGTTGTTCCCCAGATCCTCCCTGCTAACTGCGTCCAGTTCTCATTTCCTCCACCCATCTTTCATTTCCAACTGAAGATTGTCCTCCATTTCTATCTTTCCTTTCTTTGTCGTATATGGGAAGAGGATGAGGAAGGAAAGCCAGGGAGATCTTTTGGATCTTGATTCAACTCTAGCCCTATTCGGTGATTATAAAATAAAATATCTTTACCTTGAATAGAGGAGAGCACGCTGGCCCCAAACCCCATTCCTCCGTCTCCAGTTCTGCTGGTCCTCGAGAGGGGTCTGATCCATGTCGGAAGCCCTCACAGACGGAGTTGTCTGCCTTCTCCCAAACCACCCTCTTCAACGAGTAGAAGAGCGATGGAACCGGAAAGGCAGGGAGCAAAGCTGGCAGGCTCCCACTTACCTATGTTTTAAAAAGTGCCTGCTTTAATGTTGGCCTTATCGGGCTTTACATTTTTAGGGTGGGCAATATGATTAGGTAGGACAACTTCAATCTGGGCTTCTCTGATGTAAACCCATCCACCTCTGGGGTCCTCCTTGATTTAAGTTGATTGATGCGAAATTATCCCTGGCCATAAGTTGAGGTTTAATTTCTTTCTTGGTTTCTTTCTTCTCCAGTGAGTGGATTTAACCGGGCAGAGGGACCCACGTGAAATAATGCTACACCCACTCAAGACCCTCACCTACCTCCTAATTGCCGGTGGGTATCACCATGCACCCATATTGTAGGCCCATATGCTTTTTGTAAATGCATACAAAAGTGTTTTTGCTCTGTTCAATAAGTTTTCTTTTTAACTTTAGTTTGTATTTTTGTTTTGTGTGTATTGCGTTAGAGTGCATTTCCCTTGCTTTGTATCTTCCCTCCCCTTTATTGATTTAAATAAAAATGGGGAAGAATATTGGAAGTCCATAAGTTGCCATTACATTCCCCCTCCCTCCCGTCTCGCTGGGAATGCTGATAAGTGTTTGGCGTGTGGCGCGTATGTTTTAGAATTCGGAAATCAAAGCCCAAACATGTCAAGGTAAAATTCCGAGCCTTTCTGCCTCAGCACTTTTTACTCATTTGGGAAGACAATGAGGCATTCCTCCTCATTGATTCTCATTAGCCCACTCGGTATTAAACCGAAGGCTATAGAGGTATCGCCAAAGCCTTACTGAAAACCCACCACGTCCGATGCAGGGAAAAGCGAAGTATACCGTCATCCATGTGGTCTCTGCTAGAAGCAAATAAAGCAGTTAAATCAGTCTCTTTTGAGCCAGGGACATTCCTAGTCCTGGGGGGGAAATCAGAGCTCATCACAAAAAGGGAAAACAACACACACCACAATCTGGGCTGACTGCCAGACGGCTAAAGGAACCGCTTGAGCGATGCGTTCTCCAAAGAATCGGTCCTTTATACTTTTGCTGTCAGCCTTTGTTTGTCCTATCAAAGTAAGTTGTCACATTGGGTTCCCTATTTTCACATTTGCAGGTAGGTTTTCTCCAACTAGCATACTAAGCAGCCTTTTCTATACCTTCTGCCTCCAAAGTTTTTTTTTTCTCAGATAACAGTTCTCCACAAAAGCCATCTTAAATGTGCTCCTCGCTCGAACGCCCTTCCGTCTGCCGGCACTTCTCTTGTCAACTAACCCCGAAATCCGGCATCGTCATGTTACCCAAGAGGTGATACATCTCAAAACTAATTCTTTTTCCCCTGATTCAAATCTTGTTTTCCATCTTTCAGGTTGGGCAGTGGTCACGGTACCCAGTTCTGGGGCGGAATCTCCAGTAAGTATGTCGTTTCTGCTCATTTATATAGTACGCATGCCCTCACAGGGTCTCTGACGGGTCACATTCTGTGTCGTGGAAAGAAGCACAAAGATGATAACTCACATGACACACTCCTACTGTGTTGCTTAGAAGTAAGGAAGACATCTTAAAGCACTCCACGAAAGGATGGTGTGTGGCCTGCACCCCACCTTAGTGCGCGTCCAAAACACATATACACATACCTTAAAACAAAGACAGAAAATACGTACCGTATTTCCATTGCTGGGCCCACCATAGAAAGCTGCTGGCATCAACAGAATTGGCCTTGGCACAGGAGAGAACCAAAATTCTTCCTGACCTCGTTTCCCTTCCCTCTTGCCACCGTTAGCACCAGGGGATTGTTGTATCTTGGACTACCAGCAGCCAAAATCCCCAGACCACATGATTGGGGGATTCTGGGAAACGTACCCCAGATATAGATGGTTAACTGACAGCAGCCGAGGGCTTTGGGTTTCTAGCAGAGAAGACCTTCTTCCACGCGGCTATTTTTGTCTAGGTCAGGAAAGCTGATTCCTGAACTGCCTGCGATCCTTGAGACAACTTTTTTAGCCCTTTCTCACGAGGATTTCTTCTCCTTTTTGCAGACAGTCCTGAAACATGTCCTCCCCCCCTCCTGTCCACCAGGAAAACTACTTCCATCGGTGGTCGAAAGCCTCCAACCCTCAAGACGGAAACGGGCCTCTGAAGGTGAGGGGCTGCTTTTGTGTGTGTGTGTGTGTGTGTGTGTGTGTGTGTGTGTGTGTGTGGTATCACGAGAAATGTTCCCAGATGAACAGAAAGACCTCACCGGCAGAAAGCTTGACTTCACGTACCCGTTGCTAGAAGTACAAGGGAAATATTCCCTTAAGGGTTTTCTGTGGGCAACTTAAGGGTTTTCTGTGGTTGGCCATTAAGATGTGGGTCTGACCCAGAGGGACCTTTCATCCATTCTTTCCCTCATCTGGGCCTGGAGGGACCTGAAAGCTGAGCAAGCTTCTTTACCACCCGAGTCTTGTCTTCACAGATTGCCCACCCGATAAAACCATTACGGTAGAGACCCTCAAGGATCAGCTGATGCCGATTTATTATACTCCCGACGAGCTTGGGGCATGCTTGAAAGGTCAATTCCTGCTGGACAATCTCCCTCTAGTTACTGCACAAGCTTACACTGACCTCCAGATGTTTAAACTAAAGCAGAACCTCGACCGGGTAAAATAGATCTTTTGCTGGGATAAATGCAAACTGTTTTTGACTTGGTGGCGGGAGGGGTGTAGATGACAGCCATGGGTTGATTACAACAGGACCCTCGTATCCACGGGGTCACTATCCACAGTTTCATATTAAAAAATTTAAAAGAAAATCTAGAAAAATCTATTTTCACATGTATTACCAGAACAGGCCACTGGATGGAGACAGAGACCATGCTATGAATACTTGTTACTGATGACTAAGTGACCCTCACGACTGGATGGAGACAGAGACCATGCTATGAATACTTGTCACTGATGACTAACTGACCCTCGTTCTTAAATAGGTGAACAGGGTTTAGATGCATCAGTACTTCGTGAACCGACACAATTTACCAGTCAGAGCTGACAGAAAAAGAAGGTTGCACATACGGGGGAGGGGGAGTGTTACCATAGCAGAAGCATAGGAATGATCTAGTGTTTAGAGACAGAGACCATGCTATGAATACTTGTCACTGATGACTAACTGACCCTCGTTCTTAAATAGGTGAACAGGGTTTAGATGCATCAGTACTTCGTGAACCGACACAATTTACCAGTCAGAGCTGACAGAAAAAGAAGGTTGCACATACGGGGGAGGGGGAGTGTTACCATAGCAGAAGCATAGGAATGATCTAGTGTTTATATGAATTAGATCATTTATGTTTTATATATATATTTTAGCTGTACATCACCCAGAGTAATCGTTGGCTGTGTATAAATCCAAAGATGATAGATAGATAGATAGATAGATAGATAGATAGATAGATAGATAGATAGATAGATAGATAGATAGATAGATAGATAGATAGATAGATAGATAGATAGATAGATAGATAGATGGATAGACAGACGGACGGACGGACGGACGGACGGACGGACGGACACATTGATAGAGCGATATCTTGTCTGCTGAAACCTTCATGTTTACTGCAGACAGACAGACAGACAGACAGACACGTCAATGTATCTTCTCTGCTGAAACCTTCATTTTTACTGATTTCCTACAGGAATTTCCTGAAGGATACACGGACGAGGTTCTTGCTAACCTTGGCGTTCTCCTTGAAGTAATGAGTGAAGACGACATTAAAAAATGGAACATCGCCTCTCCTAATACGCTTGGTGCTTTGCTAAGCACCGAACCCACCGATGACGTGGTAATTAAGAGCAGAGCAGAGGACTGCTTTTTATACGCTTGCTCTGGCTGGATTTTGTTCACCCTCCCTTTTCCACACTGGCTTCTACATCCTTCTATGTATATATTCCATATCTGTATGTCTCTTATCTCTTTCTATTTATACCCATCCATAACTTCCTTTAAATACAACCTACGGAGGTTTCTCTGTTGTTTCTCCCCTAAATTATGACCCTAAGTGATGCCGCTTTTAATTTTTAGGGTCAGCGTGGTATAGTGAATTACGAGAGTCAGACCGTGACGCAGGAGACCTGGGTTCAAATCCCCATTCGGCCATGAAAACCCACTACAGGGAGTGAGATATTTAAAGAGTGGCTTTATCATTCCAGTCCTCAGTGAGTTTGCATGGCTGAGCGGGGATTCGAACCCTGTTCTCCAGAATCCGAGTCCCTCACTCAGTCCACCCCCCCACCCTGGGTTTCCCATCTCTTTTAGGCCTCCTTAATTATTCAGCAGTATGTGCACCGCGGAAATCCTCTCAACGCTGCTGCTCTCAACGCAATTGGACCGAGCTACATTTGCATCCTGAATCTGGACCAGTTGAACATGATCAACGAACAAGCCATAAAGTGAGTGAATTTCTTGTAATACTTTTTATTTACTGGGAAGGAAAAGGCTATGGTTTTATTTTTGCTTAACCAACATGGATTCTTGGGTCTTGAATAAAATATTGTTCCCAAAGATAGTGAGTGCAGAATAAATAAAAGGAAGGAGATAAACATCTGTGTTTCAACAAGGTTCATGTTGCTTGACATGCGTTTTCCCACTGGTACAACAGCCCTTTAAGGTAGGCCAGTATTACTGCAACCATGCATCATTCTTGGGAAAATTCATCTCTCCCAGAAAGTGAGAGGATTATATCCAAGTTTAAAGGGAGATCTGAAATGATCCCATAGCGTATGCTACAGAGAAAACCCTGAAGCTTTGATCCTTGGGGAAATGGACTCTTCTCAGAGTTAAGAGTTAGTGTCCCCCAAATCAAATTCATTAATTAGCTGCAATTAATCCTGTCTTCCGTCCCGCAACGGGATTTCTACAGCGACAAGTGGTTCAGCAAGCAGACTCGCAGGTTAAACTCGTCAGGAATTATGTTCCAATGGATGATCACAAAACTCACCACGCTAAACGCAAGATAGGGAGGTAAGGAAAAACTTTGCACTGTGACACACAAACATCTTTCACCACTGGAGGGAGCACCTCTTCTAAAAACATGTGCTAAATGCCTAGTCCAGTTGTTCCTCCAGGGAAAAACACCGCCGAAGACCTGACCTTCGTGGTAGATAGTTCTGTTTCAGTCCAGCTCACAGACAACACCTCTAATGACAGCCATTAAGCCAAGCTGGGAGAAAGGTGGAAAGGCCACCTTCTGAGCGATTGTTTTCTCTCTTTTCCCTTTACAGGATGGCCACACCTCTGGAGCTCTCCAGATGTTCCCAAGCCACTGTGGATAAACTATATCCAAAAGCCAAACAGGCCTTCTCTGACCGCCATAACGCATTCCCAGAGTTTTATAACCTCATGAAGCCATACCTGAGTAAGTAGGTAGCATCCCGCGGGGAGATGCAGCTGGCATTCAGATTTCCTTAGGCTTGGGGAAGAAGTCTTGACTTTGATTTCCCTAAAAATGTAATTAAAAGGACAGCAAGATGCTTTCTACCCTCTACAAAGTAGGGGACCTGCCGGTAAAGTATCCCTGCCCGTTGGTCATCTAACCTCTGTTTCAAAGCCTCTGGTGGGCTGTGCAATCTTTCCCCCATGGGAAACGACAGGGCAGTTCGTTGCTTCACTTACAGATTTCTGAATGTTTTTAAAAACGTTACAAATTTGCTTTGAAACCTTGATAGACAATTACTTTAAATATGATCTTTATACAGCATTTTTAAAACTGCTGATTGTTTCATTGCTTCCGTTGTCGTGCACCGGCTTGGGGTCCCCGATGGGGAGAAAGGTGGCATATAAATATTACAAATAAAAATAAATCCCCCCCACATGAGATTTCCATGTGCAAAGTTTGAGAACCATCAAGGAAATTTTGAGGGTCACCGGCAGAGAAGAGCTTTAAAAGAAAAGATGGTGTTATTCCTCTTGCTGAAAGGCCGAGAAAGGGTTATAAGCAACCTTTCCACAGCTGCCGGATAGCTCAGTGAGTTAGGTCTCTGGCTGTGGAGCCAGAGGCTGGGAGTTCGATTCCCCCACGGTGCCTCCTTGACACGGGCTGGATTGGATGATGCCTAGGTTTCCCTTCCAGCTCTGCCATTTTAATATGATGACAATGATGATCGTTCTTCTCTTTAGGAGGTGCTCCAGCTGAGGATCTGAAGGCCCTAAGCAAAAGCCCAGTGAACATGGACATTGAGACCTTCCTGGGCTTGAAAAATGACGTCCTGATGGTAAGTGAGATGATGACTTCAGTGCTGAAAGTGATCCCCCGCAGAAAAACTAGAGCTTCTAAATGAATGGAGTGTCCGAGAGAAGCAAAATCCAAAAATATCAGGGCGCCTTTACAATATATCTCTCGGAACTTTGATGGAACTTAAGTCTAGTTCCTCTGGTAATATTCTGAAAAAAAGTGGGCTGTCCCCGACAGTATCTTGGGCCATACTTCCGCTTCAGATTTGTCCATGAATTCAAGTCTTTGGACTGTCATCAGATGAGGTTCAAGACAATTCATGCCCTGGCTTGGAATCCGCTTGTAAACTTGTCACCTCAGTGCAAACCACGAGGGCTAGAACATTTTAGCAATTGGGCTGAGGTCCATGAAACCTGGAGACGTGACAGATCCCAAAGAGGGGAGCGAACCTGGCAAATTTCAGACTGCTAACTCGAGGGGTCCCTGACACAAAGCTTCTGGATCAACAGAGGTTTCCAGATAGTCTTCAAGGGCAGCCCCACCTACAGCACATTGTAGTAATCCAGCCTGGTAACGGGTACGACAGGCGTTACTGATTTGGAGCGCCTTTGCTCAAGTGAAAGGTGAAATCTTCTCCTCCGAAGCTTCTCAATGGGCTCTCTTTTTCGACAGAAACTGACCCCCAGTGAAGTAAAAGGTTTGCTGGGAAGGAACGCAGAAGCGCTGAAGGAGCATCAGTCTGAATTTCCTATCAGAGACTGGATCCACAAACAGAAGCAGGAGGAGCTAGAAATCCTGGGCATTCAGGGCGGGATTCCCGACGGATACATTACTCTGGCACGGGCCCCAAACCGTAAGAAACGGAGGGCGGTCTTAGCTTTCAGGCAGGTGTAAATCCTAGCCACCCAGGAGGCAATGATCTGCCCGGGCACTTTCTTCCCCCCATGGCTTTCCATTTTGTGAGTGCTCCGGTCTGTCTGTGGCAGAAAGACCTGGAATCCCCCCCGGGGGGGGGACAGGCAGAGAAGAGAATCCCCCCCATGCTGCCCTTGCATAGGATGAAGCCATCCCTTTGTGGCTCCATGCCTGTGACCACAGAGCCTCAAGAGGAGGTGTGTGTTTGTTCGGACTGTGACCCACCACGAAAAAACCCCAATGATGAGACCTGAATAAATTGTGCAAATAAAGCAAAGGTGGTTTGGCTTGGCGTGTTTCGTTTTGTTCTTACAGGACAAGGAACCCTAGTTATTGGTGACACTGCTCAGAGACCCCTTTCTCCCCCCCCCGGTTCCCCCTGGCCTTCTGAGTTTAACCACGGACCCATTTTCACACAGCTCTCCGTTTCAATGGGAAATAAACCTGTTTTTAGTTGGGATGCTGAGTTTGAAACACTTTAATAGGCTTTTGACTCTCCACCCCCCAAACTCTAACAATATCAATAGCACAACGTTTTACAGAAGATGGGGGGGAATGACATCCCATTGCGATAACATCAGTAGCAACCGATAAAGGAGGTAGAAAGACCAATAATACCCTACAGAAGCATCCTTTCTCTCTCCAACCGCCAATGACACGCCGTTAGTTCAGGGGGAGTCCAATTCCATGGGGGCAGTGAATCCATTTTGGGTCTTAGTGTGGAGTTACAGGAGCTGCCTAAGGCACTGAACACTTTCCTTGAGAAAGTGCCTTTAAATTTGAAGCTTAAATTTAGCTTGAATTCACAACACTGCCAAAACCAGGGTCACCAGCTTCCCTGGACTGCCTTGCTTCAAAAGGCGCTCCTGATTTCAGTAACAAATTCTACCAGAAACAGCTTCTTCCAGCCAGATTTGAATTTCACAGAATCCACTCCGGGCTTTACTGTGACCTTTAAATGCGCTATCCAAGGTGCTGAACCTATGGGGAGGTGGATCTGGTTCTAGCAACTTGGACAGCTCCAGGAAAGTTCAGCCGAAAACCCAGAGCAGATATCAACCCTCCTGAGAGGTCCTGAGAGGATTAGCATAAATTTCTACCCCAGCTGGTCAGCGTAGCCCTTCGTTCAACCTCAGCAGGACAGCCAGATGACCAACCAACTCTGCCTTTCACCGATTACCTACTCATGCAGAAGAGGAGCGAAGCATGAAGGCTTGGTGATCTCCAGGACCAGCGTCACAGGCTGACTGTAGCTCTGTGAAGACAAAGGCTGCAGCAGGACCTGGGTGCAAGGCAAGGCGTCCCAATTCCACTACGGTTGAATCCTGGGGCACACGGTTGGATTTACACCTGTGACTTGCCAGAAAACCTCTTGAAGGAAGATTGCATTTGCTCCAGAGCTAACTGGGGGACATGAAAGAACCAAACCTAAATGCCTGTCTATGCCTTTCTTCCCAGGAAGGTCTTGAGAATGATAAACAACCTGTCAAAATTCTGATAATATTTGGGGGGGGGGGAGAGAATGCTATGCAGCTGTTAACTATGGACTTGAAATGTCTTCATCCAGGTTTGCAGGATGATCACATTTTCCAGCAGTCCATACTTAGTCTCCAGGTGGAAAATACACCCCACAACTCAGCCACTGCTCTCTTAGTCAGTAAAAGCTCTTCTGATTTCTACGGCACCAGCGGGTATGTTTCAACGACTTCCAAATTCAGTACAGAGCCATTTCTACTTTCTGCATCCATTTTATCACAATATTTTAAGTTTACACAGAATCTGAACACTGGTCAATGGCAGAGAAATATTCTCAGAGATCCAGTTCCAAGGCCAGTCGTGAGAAAACAAGACATTTGGGGAAATATAATTCATAAATATCTTCCTCTTTCATCTCCAAGGTCTGGGTCCCAGAAGACCTGCCGGGCTGGTCAATGACCTACCTCAACCGTACATTATGAAATCAACAGGCACTGTCAAACACTCATTGCTCTGGACAGTCTCCTTGCAGGTCACCGTAGTAGAAGCAGCTGCCCTGGAAGGCAGAAAATCCAGGCTGCATGAAAGTTGTGTTGTTTATGTGTCTTCAACAAAAAGCAATCAAAGCAAGAAGACAATGTTGGTGTTGAGTCCCAACCCATGTCTTCCTTTTGCTGTGGGCCCCAATCCATGGTGCTGGTGTAGCTTCACTTACCAAAACAGGTCTAACTAAGGAGCTTTGGGGCACAGCTGTTCCAGGGAGCTCAAAACAGGCCAGATCCTGGCTTGCATTCAGAACAAGCTGGTCATCAGCTGGAGGTCCATACCATCTCCCTTGCAGACATAGGAGCATCAGAAAATGAGCAGATGAAGGGGAAATAAATGCAGCTTCGTGTCACAGCCACCAGGTTGCATGCACAGGGAGTAGTTATTAAGCAGATGGTACTGGAAGCAGGAGCAGATCAGGACAATGTTGGTGTTGGTTCATGGAGTCCACCACAACTTCTCTTGCAGAACTTTGAAACCATAATGTGTGCAATCACCAGGAAGTACTGGGAGAGGAGAACATTTTCAGAGATGCTGCCTCTGGACTGAGACTCCAGCAATCAGGGACAACGTCAGAAGAAGCCAGCTGAGGGATCCTCTGGAGGCCAGCGCTAAGGCAGAGGAAAGAGGAGAGAGAGAAAAGGAGTCACAGACAGCTCCAAATTTACTTGCCACCAAAATTCTTAGGTGTAAGTCAGAAACTGGCTGATAAATCAAGCTATAATTCCCAGCTGGGTCTTCCGTTGACTTTTCCCCATGGTAGGAAATGGAAAGCTGCTCGTTCCCTAACAAACATGCCTAGAATCAATTAGGACAGCTTTGATCCACCAGAACCGATTCAGTGGTTTCACACACACTCCTCTGAACCCTGCTTCCCCCAGGGAAGCCACACGGACCCATCAGTGGAAATAATTCCACTATCAAAAGATTTCGGAAGGAAGGAAGGAAGGAAGGAAGGAAGGAAGGAAGGAAGGAAGGAAATTTAATTTCTGCCCTCTCTTTCTTGCAACTCAAGGACCTAAACCCTTTGCTGAGGATACTTCCTAATGGACACCTCCTAGCACTGTCCATCGACAGGAACTATGGAACGATTTCCCCTTTTCCATTCTTAACCGTTCCCCCTTCCCTACTTTTGAGGGAAACTAAACGGTTGTGGGAAAGCACAGGAGTCTTGAAGTGAAAGGAACTGCCTTCTCTACCCAACCAACCTTAGATGCCCATTTGCAAGTCAAGCGACGGCACCGGCCACAGGGCCGGCTGCAAAGCTCTCCCCCTCCCACATGGCCGTCAAGGCTTACCGCTCAGGGGCTGAATGTTGATATAGCCGTTTGGGGTCGGATGCACGGGGGCTTTGGTTCTTGGAGGTGCTTTGCTGCTTTTGGTGGAGGCCGGGCTGGTGGCGTTGGGCCTGGGCTGAGGTGGAGTCGGAGGCCGTGCGGTTGATGTCAGGGCCACGCCTGACCTGGTGGAAGTGAAACCCTTGCTCCCGGTTGTAGACGCCCAAGCGCTGGTGGTGAGATTTACGAGGATGGCAGTTGTGGGTGAGAAGGTTGTGTTGGGAGCCCTCGTCACGTTGGAGTTCGTGGCAACAGGAGGTGGGCTTGTGTGGGTGGTTGTGTTGGAGGTTGTTGGTGTGGTATTGGCAGAGTAGGTCACGTTTGTGCCTCCTGTAGTGTGAGGGGCGAGTATCCCAACGAGGGTATTGTTTGAACCAGATGTGATGTTGGTGGGGACAACTGTGGTGGAGTCCACAGTGGTGGCCGGGAGGGCTGCGTCACCGGTCGTTGTGGTGTTTGAGTCCACCGTAGTCCTACCGGAGATAGTTGTGTTGGCGTCTCTTGCCATGAAGACAGGGACTGCTGCGCCACCGATGATCCCATCGGAAGATGTTGTGAAGTCAGAAGAAGTAGCCGTGACTTCAGTGGGGAAAGTCACGGCAGAGTCTACTGTGGTGTTAAGAAGAAGGGGGGTGCTGGAATCTGCTGCGGTTGTGTTGAAACCTCTTCCAGTGGTAGATGCTGGGCTTCCGCTGAGGGCATCCTCTGGCGTCGCAGTAACATTGGGGGAGACAACAGTAGTTTCTGCGGCGAAATCAGCTTTAGGAACGGCAACAGTGGAAGGAGCCGTGATATTGGTGACGGTGATGGCCACCGGAGTGACGTTGGAGAACGGGGTCAGATGGGATCCAGTTGCGGCTACAGGGATGACAGCATGCCGTCCTGCAGAGGTAAGGCTGGACAGAGTTGGGGTGTGACGGTCAGGGATGGCCGAGCGGTTAGCGGCAGGGATGGGGGTCACTGGAGCATCAGCCCTGGCATCGGAGGAAATGTTCATGGCGGTGCTTCTGGCTTCCGTGGGGGACGGAGCGGTCATCCCTCCGGTCAGGCCAATCCCAAGAGTGTCCAGCTCGGACTGATACTGACTCTTGATCCACCTGGCTACGGACGGATGGTTTTCCTCTTCTTTCAGAGCAGGCAGATTGACCCCCATCAAACCTTTCACGTCCTGGACGCTCAGTTTCTGCAAGACATTTGGGAGATCATTGCTCATTGAGGGAGTGTCAGGGGGCCTGGCCGTCCTGTAATTATGTGTTCTTCCCCAAAAGCAAAACTGAGCTGGCCTTTCTCTGTAGACACAGCTGAACATATAGGTCCTGCCTGCAGAATAAGCATCTGAAAGTTTTATGACACTGTTATCTATCATTGTTTATGAGAAATGCCGGGGAAACGGGTTGAGATGCAAGACACCATCTTTCTTTAGAAGGGTTGCATCCAGAAAAGCTACCATGACATCCAACCACCGGTGCAGGAGAAATCATCATGATCATCTTAAAACTGCAGAACTAGGACCCTCTGGATCATCCGAGTCCAGCCCCTGCCGAAGAGGCCCCATGGGGGAATCAAACTCCCAACTTCTGACTCCACAGCCCAAACCATTGAGCTGTGAACTATGGAAAAATGTCCACCCAGTAACCAAAAATACTCTGTTCCCATAGCTTTGACCATTTGAGGTTAGCAAGAGTGCGCTGGGTCTTCCCTGTTTATGCCTGCTTCATCCATCCGGTCCACAACAGCCCAGCAGATATTTCAGGATTCTGGGTCCATGCTCTCCAAGTCATGCCTTCAAGGCAGAACTGGGCGCCTTGTTGCATAGCCTCGCCTTACAGGAGGCTGCGTGAATCACCCAAAGGACCGACACGCCATCAGAACTCACCTGCAGTTCTTC